CTAGCATGCTGACAAGGACCAACAAGGGAAAGGAGGACCCCAGAAAAGAGAATTCAACAGCAAACTCTCGATAGATAAAGCCACCACTGCTGATAGGGCCATGTAAGCCTTCACCATTGGTGCTTTTCACACCCATGAGCTCACCCAAGATGAACTAGCAGATAATTATTCTCATTTCACTGAAGGGAAAAGAAATTCAGATTTAGAGGGTGAATCCTGAGGACATATGAGCAGTTACAGATCTGGGCCCTGACCTCAGCTTTCAGAGGGGCAGACTGAGGAATGGTTGAGGACATAGCCCTGAGGCCTGGTTACCTGGGTTTGAATTCCAGCTGAGTCTCTTATTAGCTGTGTAACCTTCAGCAAGTTACTCTACCTCTAGGAGCCTTGTCTTCCCCATCTGTAAAGTGGGGAGAAGGATAATAACAGTACCGATCTCACAGGCTATAATAAGGATTGAGTTCGTTCGTTCGTGCCAAGCTCTCAGCCATGTCTGGTACATTTCTGTGCATCAGCCTTGGGGGGCAGTGAGAATAGGGTCCCTGAAGTTCCATGTGTGATCAGGGTGGGTCTGCAGGAAGTAAGTCTCCCTCCCTCAGCACCAATCCCATCTTCCAAACTAGAGGTAGGGGTGTGTGCTTATGTGGATTCAATCTTGCAAAGTGCATGTATTTGCCAGGAGAACTCAGGCCAGCTGCAAATCCTGGAGCTCAACACTGAGCGATTGCTAGAGTAAATAAAGTGAAAATAAACCAATCGCCCAGGTAATAGGAGATTTTCCTCTTGTCTGCACTGGTAATTGAGCCATTATAGCCAGTCTCCTACTTCCCCAGTGCTACTGTGAGTTTAAAAGGGAGTTAAGGAAGCTGCCTGGCCAGAAACGCAGATACAGGCTTGGGAGGTCCCAGAGTTGGTCCCATCACGTCTTGGCACACCCACAGCACATGTGCTAAGACTCGCCCTTCTCACCTTTCCTCCAAGCCCAGCAGAGCACAGAACTGCACAGAACCAGGGGAGCTCTAAGAGCAGAGGGCTGGGTGCTGAGCCAAGCCAGCCACACTGCTGGAGCTCTCTCGCATAACTCACAGTTCCCTCCCTCCCACCAGCCATATATTTTTTCCTGAGCAGGACACCTCTGTTTCATGAATAAGGGGTCTTCAGCACAGGTTCGGTGGGGACAGAGGCCCTTGGACTCTGAACCACTTGGGAAGCCTGTCTGCTGACCTTGCTGCATCTCCTAGAAAGGCCTGGAACGTCACCTAGGGTCAGGCTCTGCCCCTGTAAATGCCTATTTCGGCCAGCCCATCCAGGATGTGTCAACAAGCAGACCAGGGAAGAAAAGAGCCCTGCTGAAATTTGAAGAAAGTCAGGGCTGAGAGCCAAAACAAACTGATAAAGAGAATGCACTCTCTGGAAGAATCTGTCACAAAAGAAAATTCTACATTCCTCAAGCTAGGCAAGACCCTGCATGTAACCTTGTCCATAAGACAGTGACCCTTTGAGTTACCCCAGGCAGATGAGGGCCTTCAGAAACCCATTCCCAAAACTGGCCTTCATGAGGGTCTTCCTCTGTCTAACCCAGTCTGTACATCCTCAGTGATTTAGTCTGAGAGGGTACGAGGCAAGAATGAATCAGAAATTAGAGACCTGTGGCCAAGGCTGGTTTGAACAAGGTGCAGAGTCTGTAGAAGACAAAACCTACAGAGTGCTTACCCCCACTCCACCCCAGCACCTCAGCCTCAACCACAAACTCATTCTTTATACAGATGAAGTCATGCTAAACTGGCCACTGAGAGCAGCATCCGGAGAGAAACAGAACCCCACAATGTCACTGCTGTGTCCTGGAAGGGGGCAGAGGAGTTTCCCCGGTCTCGATATTGTTGATGAGTGGAGGGCCAGCAGAGTGTGATGCTGAAGGCATGGGCACTGGCACAGCCAAATTGCCTTGGTTCAAATCCTGCTTCTCTCATGTACTGGCTGTGTGACTGTGGGCATGATATTTGTTTCTCTGTTCCTCTGTTAATTTTTCTATAAAATGGGAGCAATAGCAGCACCTACTCGACTGAGTTGTAGTGAAGCTTAAAAGAGCCAACACATGTCTGGCACTTAATGGATACTGATTGTCTTGAGGATGACCAGTGTGTCAAGACATCCGGCTTATGCCTTTTGTCCCAGCATCATTATTAATACTCTCTCTTTCTCTTTCAAGAGTGAACAGGTTGCATGATAAATGTTAAGGCTGGTTCTTGTCTTTTTTTCTGTCCATTTGGTTATCTCCCTGCTTTGTGCTGCCTCTCTGAGTATTGGGAAGCCAAGTTCCCAAAGTGTATGTCCCCAGGATAGCTCTGCCCATGCCACTGAGGTATCTGTGCCATAATCTCAGTTGTTCCTTTCTTCATTTTTCTCTTCACTTTGTCTCTCCCTCTCCTTCCTCTTCTCCCACAGCCATCCTTTCCTTCCTGCTTGCTCCCCGTCAGTGCCTCAGGGTGCCAGGAGCACACGCAAGCACATTTTGACTTTACTGAGGGCTACCACTGACCCGGCACACTTGGATGAGACACTTTCTGGCTCTCTAACTGAGTTATGCTTTACCAAATTTCTCTTAGAGGAAAGGAAATAATTTGAGATGTCAAAGAAATTACCTGACCACTGACAGATGTATGGAAATAATGTGGCATTTTGTGTATGTGTGTGAATTTGTGTTAAGGGGGAAAAAAGAGAGTAATAGCTTGAAATGGTCCATCCAATGACAAAACCTGCCTATAAAAATCATCCCAAGGGCTATTTTATGGGGGAGGCTAGAGGCTGCTCTCCAAGCAGCTGGTGAGAACAAAACCTGAGTCAGAAGCCCAAGGGTCTGTACCACTCTCTGCCACTCACCAGCCGATGGTGAAGACCATGATTTTCTGAAGCCTCAGTTTCCCCATCTGTAAAATAGGGCACACCTGTCCCTAGCTCATCGGATCCTATGACATTGTAAGAGGCCCTGGCCCTGTTCTTAGGATCCTGAAATGGCACTTATGAAATTCCACAATTGTCTGTAATTACATCTTTAGAACTCATCTGGCCCTTTTTATAGGTCAAACATAGCAGGGAAACAAGGCCTGGGACAATATGATAACCTAAACTAATTATTGTCCAAGGAGTCAAGGCAAAGCCTGAGTCTTCTGTGAACTAAGACTATGCAATTGTTTCGTGTGGAGGAAAAGTAAAGGAGTGATATGAATTCAGTGACCGACTTGCCCGATCCCGGGGGGATCCCTCTAGCAGCCTCCCTCAGCACAACTTCTTTCAGCTGCCTTCCAGCATCCCAGCAGCCTGCAGGCTGGTCCCAGAACACTCTCAGCAAATTCACAAGGAGCCTCGAGGCAGGGAGCACAAGAACCAACGGCCACTGCAGTCCCCGTCCCCATGCGTGGTGCCATCACAGGCTCCCACATATCCAATCACCTACCAAACCTGACCCCACTTCTGGGGTTCCCTGCCCAGCACTGGAACCCACATCTCCATCATCATGGTCTCCCCCTCTGCTCTGGCCTCTGACATTTATTCAGCTACCAGATGAGATCTATTCCATCTGTCTCTGGGTTCAAATCCCTGCCTAACCACTTTTTTTGCTGTGTGCCCTTGGACAAGTTGTTTAACCTCTCTGACTCTGAATCACCTCCTTTGCAAGATGGATAGAGGTAATAATTCCCTCATAGTGTTCTTGGGAGGATTAAATGAGATCATGTTGGCAAATGCCTTACCAGGCCTGTAACAGACTATTTCTCCTCCTCTCCACACATTCCTTTTAGCAGTGTCTCTGGTCGTGCCCCTTCCTCTCCATTCCCAACAGCTCTGTTCGGCCCCACGTAGTCACTGCAATCTTCTCCCTCCCGGGTTCTCCTCCTGCAGCTTCCTTTACTGTTAGTGCATCCCAAATATTGCTGCCAAATGCCAAGTTCTTCTGAGTCCCAAAAACACCATTCCCCTTCTCAGAAACCATCAAAATATCCCCTGAGCCTAATAACAAAGTTTAAGTTCCCTAATCTAACACTCCAGGCCTTCCAATGTTCCTCACCACCATTCCAAGAATTCCAACCTTCTGATCCCAACCAACATTCCTCACCACATCATCTACTACTACTACATTTTCCCTTGCCCAAGTTCATTGTGTGTAAGGGGACAAACGGATTCAGAGAGCCTTGCCACATGCTTGGGTAGATTCACTGCATCTTCATGCATACACGCACATACACACATGGGCACATGCACACACACATACATGCACGCACACATGTACACACACACACACACACACACACACACACACACACCTGAGCCATAATCAGCAAGGCCGGCTGAGTCACACGCCAGACCACAGCACGGATGGGGTCAGGGAGGAAGTGCAGCCCCAGTAGCAGCCCATTTCCTGACCTTCTTCCTTTGTTCTGGGAGGTTCTCTTTGTGACTCTTTCTGTCTTTCTGACTTTGTCTCTCCCCGGTTCTTTGTTTCTAAGCACGGGTAACAGCTCCGCTGCTGTCTTGGCCCACGTGGCAAGGGCTCCTAGCAGCACTGACTTGCAAGTGAGGAGTTCTGGTTTCTAAACCAGTGACCCTAGGCCAGTCACTTCACCTCTGAGCCTCGGTTTCTGAATCTGTAAAATGAACAGGCTGGATGTGGCCAAAGGGTCCCTGAGGTCCCCTCCTGATCTGAGCACCAGTGCTCCTCTGCCCTCCTCCAGTCCCCCTCAGGGTTCTGAGTGACAGGATTATCTGAGAGAAGGGATCAAGGGCCAGGCCAGGCCTGGGGACAGGGGTCAGGAGTCCAGCTGTTCCCCTCCCAGTGCACAGTCTCCAGCAGGCCCTCCCAGGAACTCCATGTGCTGTACACAATTAGGCGCTCTCTTGGCTGCCAGGGAGAAACAGGCAGGAAGCACCGGCCTCTGGGGCTGCACGGGGCGGAGAGGGCTGGGAGGACGCCCACCCAGCAACGGTCCTCCAGTCCTCCACCATACCTTGGGGTTTGCCGCCTTCCCTTCTATCTGCTGGCGCTGCTGCTCGGCTCGGCTCACAGCTGTCAGGTAGCCGCCTGCCCCGCGGGCCGCTCCGCCTGACTGTCTCTCTGCCCGGAACCCGAACGGGCTGGACTAGTCTCTGGCGGCGTAGAAGTGGAGGCGGCGCCCGGGAGCCCGCGCTGCCGGCCGCCAACCCCTGGGCGCCCTCCGGGATCTGCACGCACGGCGCGGTGGTGTCCGGGCGGGCAGGAGACCTCACATTGCCAGGGAGCCTGGGTGGGGAGGGCGGGGCTGCTGCTGACCTAGCCCGCCCCACTGGTTGGGCTGCCTGGGCCCCTCTGTTCCTGAGTCCTCCTAGGCCCCTTGCCCTGATTCCAGAATGTTTACAGGTTGCAGAGCCCGGCATTTCTCTAAAGGAGGGGAATTAGTCTGGGGCCTCAGGCGCCCACTGAAGAGAGGTGGCGTCTGGATATGCATCCTGGAAAACTCCCATCATCTCAGTCTACTCCAGCTGTTATATCTGAGGATTTTGTCCTTCTTTATACTTTTCTGTCTCTTCTACATAGTCTTCTGTGGGCATGAATGTTCGTATAATAAAAAAGCATCCAATACATATTTTTAATAATGCTTTAAGTAAATCTTCAAAGAACTTCCAAGACAGTCAGGCTGAGGGCATAATCCTCAGCTTGGTACAAAAGGCCCTCCATGCTGGCTCTCTGGCCACAGGCTAACTTTCCAGCCTCACTCCTGTTTTCCCCAAACACACGTGTACCCCTGCTCTGGAAACACAGGCCGTTTCCAAATACCAGCTGCTGGGAGTTCTGGCTTTACCTGGAATGCCCTTCCCCCTTCTTCCCTGCCTGTTGAAATACTCCTCATACACCCAGGCCTCACTGAAATGTCCCCTTCTCAATGAATCCTTCCCCAGACACTGGCCCGGACAGAGGAGCCCAGCGCCTTCTTGTTGAGCCTGTGTCCTCATACTCTTGTATATATTAGGACCCCCTTTCCCTCCCCGCTTCTGCTCTCCCTCCCTCCACACTAAGCCCTGTTCCTGAGGGGATAGAAATAACCATTATTGAGCAGCTATCATAAATCTCTATGATGTATCTTTTCCTGTCCTTGAAACTCAGGTAGCCAGCCACTAGCCCACAGCTTCCCTCTACCCACCCACCCCAGCAGAAGGGCTGCACCAGATCCCCTACCCCCCACCCCCGCACTTCCCACTACAGTTTAAGGAGGCCATCAGGGCACCTCCCCAACCCTCCTTCTGGCACTCTAGCCTTATATATTGGTCTTTTGTATTCCTGTTCTGGGGTATGCTTGCTTGCAGTTGGCCCCAAGGTCAGGGTGGGTTGCATTCCACCTCCGACTCTCAGTGTTTCCCAAGCACACAAGTTTGAGGGCTGGCCTTCTAGCTAGCAAAACAGGCTGCATTTGAGGGCCTGCCCTCCTCTCAGCCCTGTGTGAAGAAAAGAGCATCCTGAATGTCAGAATCTGAGAAATGAAAGGGATCTTAGAGATTATCTGATGCAAATCCTACCCACCCCCCTCTTACAAAGGAAAAAACCAAGCCTGGAGAAACCAAATGTCATCAGTGGTATCTACCATTGCTATTATTGTTGTTACAAATTATCGTTGTTACAAATTATTGTTGTTATGTATTATCTTCAAAGTTTAGATTGTCCAAAGCAATTCCACATGTTGACACTCGTTTGCTCCTCACAGTCCCATGAGGGATTAAGATACTAATGATTAAGTACTTATTTTGAAGCCAAAGACCCGGATTTGACAGATTGGTGCTCCAATCTGTCAGCTATGGCCGTGGCAAATAACTTTTCTTCATAGGTAAAATGTGGATAGTAACAGTACCTGCATGATAGGGTTATTCTAAAGATCTAAGTGAGTGTGTATCTTTAAAGGTTTTAAAACAGTAGCTGGTACAAAAAACTGGCAAATGTGTTTGCTGTTATCAATATTTTTGTTATTATTAATTGTATTATTTCACGGTGGGGTAATGAGGATTGGAAAGGTTGAGACTCCTCTAAAAACTGCTAGGGGCTGGTTTTCTCACCACACTCCATGCGCTTTTTGTCTCTGACACCATTCTGTTTCTTGTCAAATCCCATCATAAGATGGAACACCACTCCACATGTTTCTGGATCTAACTACACCTATCTCATAGGGCGGAAGAACAATGGTCCTTTCGTCCATCTCAGAACACTTAGACATTTCACAGGACAAACACTCACCATATCTTTGGAATTTTATGGTAATGTCTTTTATTTGCCAGGTACTTCCCTTCATAGAACACCATACCTTGTGGCTTCCCTCAGAATCACAGAATCACTGCATGTAAGAGCTGAAAGTTCAGCTTGTACACTCGTATATAGCAGAGAAGAGGTGGGCAAAAATGATTCTTCTTGGTATGGATAGGGGAAACTGAGGCAGGGCGGGCACTCACTGATGGCCCCAGGCTATGTAGCTAGCCTTGGGTACAGGAAGGGTAAGGCTCTCCACTTCTTCTTTTCCCAGGGCCCCATGACTCCTAATCCACTATTTCTGGAGAAACCCAAACCCATTAATGTAAAGAGTATTTATTGAGCACCTACAATGTGATGAATAAAAGCTAGGCAGCGCCACCTTCCTGAGCATGTGACCTATGCAGCTGAATACTTGAAAAGCCTCATGCTTGGTTAAACGCTCTGCTGTCACCTTGAAATTGTTAATAATTTTGGAACAAGGGGCCCTACATTTTTATTTTGTGCTGGACCCCGCAAGTTGTACAGCTGGTTCTGGACCTAGGTCTTCCCTAGAGCTATCAGGTTTGTAAGGAGGCAGGCAGGGAATCAATGACTGCTGTGTGTTAGAGGCTGTGACAGAAGCAAGATAACTGTAGGGTATAAGGCAGGGATGTGGCCAGGATTTGGTTCATTCAGGCCACCTTCCCTAGCTATATTAGCCTACTCTGCCACCAGATGCTTGCCACAATGCTCTGTGCTGGGACAGTGACCCTGATTAGGCACCAAGACCTATAACCCTCTATAGCTACTGCAAGCCCCAAGACCTGGCACACCACTGCGATATCTTGGCAATACCAGAAAACTGTGTCATTGGAGCGCTAAGCCTTCCTTATGTCCACCACTCACACCTCACCTTTCACTCTGACACCTACTGCTCGCCCAGACGCAGCTGACTTTGGGAAAAGGGTAAACAAGTTACCCACACTGAAAAGCAAGTGGCAGATAAAAACCTAATGGGCTCTTCATCCAAAGGACACTTAGCTTTTATTAGGGATATTTTTGTACTCTCCTGGCCTGTATGCCTGACACGTAACAGGCACCTAATTTCATGATAGTTGAATCTAAAGGGTAAATGCAGATGATAAAGCCTGGGGTAGGCAATCTGAAGTTCACTGGCCCAAGAACAGGGGATTTTTGTTGTGTTTTGTTTTTGTTGTAGTTCTGGAGTAATTCGAGAAGCTGTAACACAGTAGTTTAGGAGTGAATGGGAAGTGAGGAAATGCAGGTGTGAGGATGGGCTGCTCTCAAGGAGGTTGGCAGGGGAGGGAAGCAGATGGCATGGGAGCTAAGGGAAGAAGAGAAGCACAGAGGAGACTCAGAGACGTTCATAGATTGAGGTCGAGAATCTGATGAAGAGAAAAGGGGTGGGGAGCGAGAAAGGTCAAAGGCCCTGGTTCAAGAAGAGGCAGGAAGAACTAGAGAGCACAAGAGCAAGTGGAGAAGCCTCTAAGTCTAAAACAGGAGGAAGAAGATAAAGATGGGTGAGGATGAAGATCGAGCCATGAGAGGAAAGTGAACGGAGTTCCTGGATAATGCCCCCTGTTTTCTCTATGACACAGGAAAGTAGCGAGTGGCTAGAGGTTCTGGGTAGACAAATGGGGTGGGTGGCATTTAGACACCCATGCTATAAATTGCTGTCTCCTCTGGGAGAAGGAGCACTCACTAGGGGAGAGCAGCAAGAGGGCACAGAGATACTTCCAGGAGGTGTGCTTCCCGCATCACTTTTAAGCTTCATGGCACACTTCCTCCTGGCGTCTGACTGTTTTCTTGCTCATGTGCTGCTCTTCACCATAATCGAAGGCCAGTTTCTCTTGCGTGATTCCCCTAGAGGGACAGTGGAAACATTCATTGCTCTAGTACAAAAATTCCCCTGCTGTCCCTTCTTCCTTTTCATGAGTGGCTCCGATTACAAAGTTTCAATATTGACCTTTCAATATTGACTCTCCCAGGCTTCCTGCACAACGTCAGCATCTGCCCCACCTCCCAGAGCCTCACCAGCAAAGGCCAAATCAAACAGCCTCCAAGGGCTGGAGAACTGGCCATTGTACTGAGCAAGCCGACTCCAGAGGGAAACCGCCTGTAGCCACAGCTGCTGTCTTTCTCCTCCTTGAACATGTTGGATGTGGACAGGAAGGAGACATTTTCTTGTGAGATCACAGGGGCCAATTACAGACTCATAGCTGTTATTGAAAAATAAGGCTAAGATGTAGGAGAAATAAGGCCTACTTGAGGATATTTATGAAAGCCATGTACTTCCTCTGTAGCATTCACAAACCTGGAGTCCCTCAGATGCTGGACAAGGCAGAACAAGGACTTTCTACTACTCTCCCTCTAGCAGCAAAAATGGAGTTCATCATTCAGATGGCATCTTAGAGTTATGGAGCTGGAAGAGGCTGAAAGTCGTAGAGAAAATCTCATGTAGTATAGATGAAGTGAGTATGGGCAACTTGACCAGTAGGAGTGGTGATGTGACTACTGGCCTTGAATGCAGGATTTCATTCCATCCCCAACTTCCTACAAGTGGCCTCTGAGCTATTGGGTACCTGATGCCACACTTTTCTATCACAAATTTCTGAATCCCATGTTTATAGAGCAGAGAAAGAAAAGGCACCAGATAATCAAGGATGTCTCCTGAAAGACAGAAGAAGCCATATCATTATTTTTGCTAAACAAAAGGTAAAGACCTTACAATGAGTAATATGTTCCCCAAAAGTACAGGAAAATAGAGGTAAATTTAGGTTCTTCAGAAATGATGAATTTAAAGTTTTATATCTACTGTTTTACTATATACTATATAATGGTTGAGAAAGCAAAGTACTGATTTTCTTTCCTCATAATTTCGCTTTCTCGGGCATGCATACTCCATATATACAAAACCCAACCACAGTACCCTGGCTATTAATATAATAAATAAGAAAATAAGAAATATAGAAAAGTAAAACGGGGGTGCTAGAAGCCAAAGAAGGTTTTCAGGTCT